TGTGTGTGTGTGTGTGTGCTTATTTCTCTAAACAGGCTTTAAATTGCAGTTTTAAAGGTCAGGCAGATTTCTAAGCTAAGAGACGGGAGAAGACGGCTGGCAGACGACTCTCTGGAAACGCCGCTGCGTATCAAGGCAGCTCCTGGGCAAAGTTTCTGGGGCGGGGGGCTTCCAGGCCCTCTCTTGGGGCGGAAGGGGGCAACCCGCCATGGGCAACTCACCACAGCCAACTGGGACAGTCCAACAAATACAAAAGTTATACTGATTTCGATGGAACCATGTTCAATAATAATAAAGTCAGCCCAGAAATGTAAGAGTTACAATAATGTTGACAAAAATGTGGCCATGGTAGCAAAAGCAGTTGAATGCAATGATTAATACAGCGTTGAATTGTCCCACAGCAAGTGACTGCGGTCAGCTGTCCTTGACCCTCCTTTGGGCCAGGAAGGGGCTGCAGTGGGGGGAGGAAAGACGAGAGGAAGGCTCCGGCGAAAGAGCCAGGCGGAGCCGGAAGGAATACCTAGCCAGCTTTAGGGCATTTGTTAATACCTCCAGATGGTTCTGACTGGACTCTCCAGCAACTGAACTGAGCACACTCCGCTCCAAATCTCTCTCCCCTCCAGGAGAAGGTCTTAGGCGGGGTGTGGGTGGGTGCAGCAACCCTCTACGGGCGCCAGTGGGGCAGAGAGAAGAGCAGAGGCCAGAGCTCCCAGTTGGGGTTGGAGGGAAGCCGTTTCCCCAGGGCTAAATACAACTGGGATGCTATGGGCTCCTCCTCCACAGATGCCTCCCCCCCTGTTCCCCTGGATTGGGATCTGGACCAGGACAGGGGCTGCTCTGAGGAAGGGATCCATTGGACCCAGCAGATCCCTGCAATCTGCTTCCCCGGCCCAGCAGGAGGCAGGGAGGAGCCCAGGACAACATCCACCTGGATGGAAACCTGTCCCAGGGGGGAGGGCTGTGGGGCTCAGACAGGACAGCCTCAGGAAGGGGGCTGGAGAGAAGCAGGCAGGCGCCCACAGTCAGCGAGGCAGCATGCTCAGCTGGTAGACGGGGGGGATGTTCCCAAAGCCGCTCATTTTGGGGGAGACGTCGATGTCCTTGGGGTGCAGAGATGACTTGAGCGAGAAGTTCTGCAGGATGGTGGTGAAGTAGAGGAAGAGCTCCATCCGAGCCATGGCTTCCCCCAGGCAGACGCGTTTCCCTGGAGGAGAGGAGAGACATCAGCCACAAGGAAGCCCTGTCCACCGAGGGAGACCGTTCCCCTTCTCTTGTCCACCGAGGGAGACCGTTCCCCTTCTCTTGGCCAAGAGGGCCACCGCCTTTTCAAGGCCTCGGGGAGGGGGGGGGAGGGCCGTAACTCCGCCCCTTGGCCTCGGCTGTGCTGCCCCTTGTGCTGCCCTGGTCAGGTGCCCCAGAGCAAGGACAGCCGAAGGGGAAAAGGCCCCGGCCCTCACCAGAGGAAAACGGCACAAAGGCCTCGTTCTTCTTGAAACGGCCATTTTCATCCAGGAAGTGTCCGGGGTTGAAGTTCTCGGGGTCGCTGAAATATTTGGGGTCCCGTAAGGCTGAGCCAAGCAGGGGGAAGACGTCCGTGCCCTGCAGAAACACAAACTCAGACTGAGGCTCCGTTCACCAGGGATCATCGCCGCACACGGCCCCTTCCTCTCGGGGAGCCTCACCTTCGGCAGAAGGTACCCCCGGAACTGAGTGTCCCGGATCACCGTGTGGGGCACTCCCATGGGGACAATGTCCGTCACCCTCTGGATCTCGTGGACTACGGCATCCGTGTAGGGCATCTTCAGCCGGTCTTCCGTGGCAGGAAGGCGACTGGGGCCGATGACCTGGTCAATCTCCTTGTAGATCTTCTCTGCCGAAACATCAAGGAAATCCTTCTGGGGGAACCTGAGTGGCCCAGGGCTCTCAACCCAGTGGGGGCCACTGCCTCGGGCCCCTTAGTCAGGAGGCCGGGCAGACCTGGGTGAGCCTCTGAAGCTAAAGAGGCCCAGAGCCTCCCCCTCCCCTCTTTCCAAAGCCCCACAGCCCCCATCCTCAAGGCAGAAACATCAGGTGGGAATAGATTCACCCAAGAGACACATCCCCAACCTTTATGGCATTGCATTGCAGCCCAATAAAAATTATTCTGCTCACCCACCCACATTCCTGCTACACCCTCAGAAATATTCCTGCTGCGATGACCAGCGGAGCTTCTCTTTGACCTGGTCTGAGAGGAAGGCTTGGACCTGATGCAGAGAAGCTGCTTTCCCCACGAGGACTAATTAACTTCCTTTTTTAAAGCCGTCACACCTGTTTCATTAAGAGCCCACCAGGCTCTCAAGCCACGGAAGGGCTGCCTTCTCCATTTTGACGGGTCTTCTGTAAGCTGCCCATTGAGGTGAATGCCCGTGCTCCATTCAGGCAGCTGAGAGTCTCTCCCGGTGGGGTGGGGGGAGTCTGTGGGAGGAAGCTGCCTCCCCTCGGACAACTCCATGCAAACGGCTCCAGAGCTTGTCCAGCCTACCTTCCACTTCTGGGTACTTCATCAAGAAGAGGAGTCCGTATCTCAGGGTGGAGCTGACGGTTTCCGTCCCAGCAAAGAAGAGGTTGAGGGTGGTCAGGACCAAATTCTTCAGGTTGAATTCGGTGGAAGGGTTTCCTTTTTCCTTCGAGAGAAGAAAGGCCTCGTCTCAGCAGGGTCTGCATGGTGAGTAGAGGCCCCGTGGATTCAGGAGGTCCAGGTTTACAAGCCACTCGCTTATTTACTAGATGGGGATTCTGGACCTGAAATGTAATGATGGCTGCCCAAAACTCCTGGGGTAGCAGAGGAAGCAGGCTGGGGGAGACCAATCTAAGGTAGGGGACCGCCTAGCGTCACCAGGCAGGTCCACCGCCTGTGTGGCAGGGAGAAGAAATGGCTCCTGAGATGGCTTCCTACTCCTTCCTAGCCTCGCGGGATGGACTCCAGGGGGAATTTCCACCCATTTCCCACTCAGCCCCATCTTTTAGTCTCTCAGATTCCCAGGCTTCTCCCTGTGGGTGAGAAACTCCCGGCGGTACCTTCTCCATCTGGATGAGGAAGCAGTCAATGAAGTCGCGAGGGTTGCTGGGATCCAGCGTTGCCTGGTTGGTTTTGATCTTCCCGGCAATGAAGTCCTTCAGGTCCTCAACCAGGTAGTAAACGCGGTTGTGTCTTCCTGGCAGGTACTGCATGATGCAGGAATACATGTCGTAGAGCTGGGAGGCAAAGCAGAGAAACCCGGTGTGTTTATGGGGCAAAATGAGCAGCCTGGCACTAACCGGAGTCAACACAGGAAGAGGTCTGCTCTGGGTTCCGCCAGGGAGAGCCTGTCGGGAGGATCCTCCTGGCCCACCCCGGGGGAAAGCCTGTTCCACGATTGCCCACTACCTGTGCCAAAGGGGTGCTCATCTCCATAAAACTTTCGTTGATCATTTGCAGCAGGGAGAGGAAGGTCTTATCTTCGTAGTCGAAGCGGCTGCCAAAGACCACGGAGCTGATGACGTTGGAGACCGTGCGGCTCAGGAAGAAGGTGGGGTCGAAGGGCTGGCCTGAGGGACCGGAAGAAGCAAAGGTCTACCTGAGGATGCGGCTTTCCCTGACCCGGAGGCACGCGAAGCCCGAGCTCCAGTCAGGCGTTGCTGAGCCTGCTCATCACCCACCTTTGGTTTTCCTGATTTCCTCCATCAAATACTGGGCCTCCTCCTGGATCCGCTCTTCAATGGACCTCTTGCCCATCCCAAAGTTCCTCAAGGTGGTGAGGGAGAAGCGACGGAGCTGCTTCCAGCGTTCCCCGTTGGCAAAAGCGACTCCTGGAAAGCAAGGGTCCATCCTTCCTTTGAAGGCTCCCTCTTCAGTCCCATAAAAACACTTCCCTCTCTGAAGCCCTGAACCAGGCAGGAGATGAGGGAGCTCTCCCGCAATGTCCCCTCAACCTCCCACTGGCTTCTGCTTCTGCTAGGAAACCTGGGTTCTCTTGGGCAGACGCCCTGGATCTGCTCTACTCACCAAAACCATTGAAGTTCCGGTCAATGCTGGCTATCTCCCCTCTGCCGCTGAACTCCTCAGCCTGGTCCACCAGAGCTTCCTTCACTGTGTCGTGCCCACACAGAACCACCACCCGCCGTGGGCCCAGATAGACTGTGAACACCGGCCCATATTTCTCTTTCAACTGCGGGAAAGGCCACGGAGAGAAGGTCACGGAAGGCTCCCACTTGGGGTCGTGGCAGCAACTTTAGGCCAGAGGCAGGACAGTTTGTCTGGAGAAATCTAGATCTTCGATGACTCTAAAATGGATTTAGACTGATCTACTCTCCAAGAAGGATTCCAAGAAGCCTTGATGAGCCTTCGGTGGCACATCCACGGTTGGGAGCTGCCTATCCCCAGAGCCTGCTTACTTTAGGGCCAATAATGGGGTGGCATCGCCTTCAGGCACTGGCGCTCTGGTTGGCTCTGGTTGGGTTTCCCTCCATTTTTTATGGACCCCTAGAGATACTTGAGGAACTGGGAGGGGAGGGGGTTGTTCATTCCCAGAGCTTAGAATGGCTCCTTCTGGGCAACCTGGAGCTTCTGCTCAGCCAGCCCATGAGCTTGAGGACCTCCGATCCGCCTTTCTGCCCTGCACCTCCTTGCACCAAAGAGGGGACAACTCACCGCCAGGAAGGACTTGAAGGGCTCGCTGGTTTTCACCTGCAGGATATTGCCAAGGAAGGGCAGCGGGGTGGGTCCTGGGGGCAGCTTCCCTTCTTTGTGCATCCGCTTCCATGCAGAGATGAGCAGCAAGCAAGAGAAGCAAATGCCTAGGAAGATGCCTACTGTGCCCCCGAGCTCCATGATGACCAGGCGGGAAATGCACTTGGGGCCCCCAGGACCTGCTGCTATTTATCTGCCTCTCCCGGCACTGGAACCTGGGAGCTGAGCAGGAAAAGAAGATTGGGTTTCAAAGCCACGTTTGTTGGGCACCTGGCAGGGAGGGAGGGAGGGAGGGAGGGGGCATCTCCCTGGGCAGGAAGGGCTTGTGGAGGTCTTCTGGCCTAAGGCGAGGGCGGCTTTGCCATCTTCCCACCTCAACTGGGACAGAATCTCCACAACCAGAGTTAGATGTGTTGGAGACTTTTCGGACCCCAATTGAAGAGGCGGGTCCCCCTTTCAGAGGCTGGTGAGTTTTGGCCGCTCAGTCCAGAAACCGCCCAGGAGACCCTCCCCCTTCACCAAATGACCAGAGAGTAGAACAAGAGGGGATGCAGGGATATTTTGTCAGCGACATCCGGGGGGCCAAAGGACACTTCAAGGGTGCTTTGGAAGAGTCTTCGGGCGGCCTGGACTCCCGGGGGTGAGGCCTCTGGGCAACAGGAGCGCTGCAGACAATATCCACGGTGACTACCAGAATCTTGACCAAGTGCATTACAAAATATGCCGTTTGCTTTGAGTTAAAACACAAAGAAGGAATTCTGAAGTACATCCAGCTTGAGTTTTGGTTCCCAGAAGGGCCAGGAGGGGAGGCTGCGCTTGGGCCAAAGTTTTCTCTATTGACCGGCCCAGAAAAGGGTCAAAGTCGGGAGGAGACAAAACATCCTGGCCAACCAGATTTCTTCCTGGCCAGAGCATTATTGGGCGGGGGGGGGGGAGGCAACTAGCAGTGTCTTGCCAGATCTCAGGGAGCAGGGAGGGGCTGCTTTGGCACCGACTCTCCCTTATGTGCTCCTTGGGACCAGCTTGCCTCCCCACTCTCCCCACAGAGGAGCCCAACGGGCAGGATGCCAAAGGAGCCAGAATATTGATGCTTTCTTTGGGCCTGAGCCCGCTGCACGCCAAACGTGGCGTCAAGGCTACACTTGGCAAAGGCTGCCCTGTGGTGATCCCAGAGCTCAGCCGGCGGATTGCCTGGTTTTCCATCAACCTCGGGCTCCTTCCTTCTCAATGAAGGAGGATGAAGAAGGAGGGTGTCAGCATCCTTCCCTTGAACCCAACCGCAGACTCCCTCCCCCTCCCTCCCTCCTCAGTTACATAACAGCCGTCGTCCTGCGAGGGGCCCCCTGGAGGAGCTGCCTCGATACTGAAGGAGGGTGGCAGTTATGTAAAGGTGATTGGATTACCTCTTGACTGATATTGCATAATAGGTTCCCCCCTCCCCCGCCCTCTGTGGCTCCTGCCCACTTGTGGCACAATCCCTTGGGAAGCAAAGGGGGGCAAGGGGGCAGCTGGGTGATGGTCCGGCTAGATGTCTCTGGGCTTGAAGGTTGCACTGGGAAGTTTCCATCAGGGAGATGGAAACAATCCATCAGGATTCAAACAATCCTGTGAACTCTGCACAGGCACCTTTGAGCAGGAAAGGGGTGGGGTGTTTTCCAAATAAAAAACCTCCATTTTTGCATTCTCCATGAAGAAGGACAACGGCCTCAGTTTCCGTGGTTTTTTTCCCTTTCTTGCAGCACGTCCCTTATCGTTTTTCCACTGAAAGACCAGAGGATCAAACTTTGACGTTATCTTTCGCTGAGGGCCAGGAAGGCAGAATGCGCAATCTGGCCCAGGGGCAACCGGCAGGGGGTGGCATGAAGGGGGCTGGAGTTCATGGCCGGTTGCCTGAGTTTCAAGGAAAGGTTGCGATTACGGCCGCCACGTGGGCTCAAGTAGGAGGCTCCGCCAAGCACAAGGGTCCATTTCCCACCACGCTGTGGGCGTGAGAGTGTTTGTGTTGCTGGACACGGCCTCAGAGGGAGAGACACCCCCCATTTTGAGCTCTTGGGGAGGGTCTGTTCTGGGGTGGCAAGCAAGAGGGCTGTCCTTTCCCCCAAGAGGTGGCACCTTCTCTGGACTGCGGAGTCTGGGGAAAACCCCCTGCCCCCCTCCTGCTCCAGTGGTCTGCCTGCTTTGCTCCAGTAGAGGGTGGCGCGTCCACCGTGGAACGTGGCCTTGCCCGGCTGGAATGCCCCTGCACATCTCCCCACTGGCAGGGGCCCACAACTGCCGGGGCCCCAGGGACTGTGGCTCTTGGGCTGCCTTCGTGTTCCAGCTCTGGTGGCCGTGGAGGGCGTGTGGTCCCAGACCCCTCCTCCATGCTTGCTGGGCCCCCAGGAAGCAGCAACTCTTCACCTTTCCCTGCTGGCAATTCACTCCTGCCAGGAAGCAGGGAAACCTTCTTGAAATGCCCTCCGCCCCCCTTCGATCCTCCCCAATGCCAAACATCGGGTTCTGCCACGTGCCTTGCCCACACCTTGGCCTCTGGGTGTGATTTGCCCTGTGAAATTCCACTTGTGAAAGGGCTTACACAACACTCCCTCGCACACGGTCTCCTGTAAACACCAGGCCCGTTTCTGTCCCGCTTCCTCGGAAACCAAGCCAAGAGAAGCCCTGGCAGACAAAGGGCCGGGCCAGGAGGGCACGAGCCTCGTGAGAACCTTGAGGGTGGGGGGGGGGCAGGAAACCGGAGCCCTTCCCGGAGCTCCCATTGTGAGCGGAGAAAGCGGCTTAAGCCGAGGACGGAAGCTTACATAAAGCTCTCTCCCTTCGCAGGGCAGGCTTTGCCAAGCTCACCAGGGGCAGGCGGGGGGCTTCAGGGGGGCTTCAGGGGGGCTCAGAGGGTCACAGCCAGGGGGCCCCCCTTTAAAACAGCTGCTCTCCGACTGCCACAGGGTCCCGAGTGAGGGAAGGGGAGGAAAAGAGCATCCAGGGGGGCTCCATGCGGGTCAGGGGTCGAGGAGGCCCAGGGCACTTGACCCCTGCCCCCCCCAATGCCATTCCTCAATCTTTGCTCCCAACCAGAGTTCTGAACAACATGTTGGTGTAACTGGATCTGCCAAAGAGGTCAAGAGCTTTGAAATGTTTGTGCTCCGCAACCCACATTCCTCCGAGGGCCGATGGTTTCTTCAGACAGATACTCCACAGGTGGAGCAAGAGATGGCAGCATGCCCCCGGGCACTCCACAGGGCCTTCCTCCCTTGTTGCCTTAGTTGTGGGGTTGTGTTTCTGTTTGCCAAGCCCTGTGGCTGCAGGGCAGGGGAGCAGTTCTCGCTTCAGAGGCTGGCAGCACCCGGGGGCTGGAACGCCTCCTGGCCTCAGCCCAGAGGTTGGCAAGTGGCCTCCAGCTGGCCTGGCTGACCACGGCTGCTGCCACCCAATGCCCTCTGTGAGGGCTATGTTGTCAAGAGGTCCCAGGCAGCCGGCAAAAGGGGCTCGTCTTTTGCCTTGAGACCACAAGTGGTGTTGAAGGCCCGTCTTTGCCCAAACTTCCAATGTTGGATGGGCAGCTTCCGGCCCCCTCCCTATGCCTCCCCCCCCCCCCGACAAAGCCCAGGCTGGCGAGAGGAATTCAGGGGGTTGCAAGGGAACGGCTGACCCAGGAAACCTTTTAAGTCAGAACATGCTCAAAGGCAAAATTGAACTCATAATCTCAGGAATGTCTGTGGTTTTCTGACAGTGAATGGCAGCTGTTGGGGGCATTCAGGGTCTGGATGAAGTCTGTGGGGGGAGGGGAGAAAGAGCTTTAATCCCAATTATGATCCCGAGCCCAGAAAGGCTGCATTGCAACGGGAGCCCTTTGTGCCCAGCGACTCCTTCGGCCCTTCACGCTCTTGCCTCCTCCTCCCCCCAATTTATATTATGACCATAGGACAGCATAGTATTATTATTACTATACAATTGTATCACAGCGGCCAGTTGTTTCGCCGGATTTGGCATTGGTTACTAGTCGGGCCCCACCCAGGGGCCTAGGACGTCGTAACGTATTTTCGTAATATGCGTGCAGATCCAAGCAGTGCGGCTTTTTGCATTTTTTTGCATCTTTTTGCAAGAGCCAAGGTGGCGCAGTGGTTAAATGCAGCACTGCAGGCTACTGCTAGATCAGCAGGTCAGCGGTTCA